CGCAAGCAGGTTAATTACGGACGGCTTTATTACTCAGCGGTTTGTACTTTTCATCGTTATTGTTAAGGATCGCTCGTCAGCACAGGGACGTATCGCTTAATCGTGTCCCGCGTAAATCCTGATAGGATAATTGCTGGAATTATGGCCTCGACGACGGTGAAACACCCGTGAGGTCTTAATTCTGAACGTGATGGCGCGAATCTTAATATTACAGGGTCTCTTAATAATCCAGTTAATTAAGAATTTTTATATTAAATTCTATACGATGAATTACAGGACATCCGAATATCTCCGTTGGGTATGAAGATATGAAAAATGTTACGAATGGAATTAAAATGACTCCATGGCACGAATACAGTAATTATATATTTTTTCAATAAGGATAGAAGAACGAAAGGAGATCTATCCTTGTTCAACATGGACTTCGAATCTCAATTTAAAGCTTTATATTACAATAAATGATCTTGTATGATAGGTCAATCAATTTTTCTAAACAAATGCTATCTTATTATGAATACCTATATACAGGGTGTCCCAAAAATATTGGAGGTCCTTGAAAGAAATGGTTCGGGAGGTGATTTGAAACAACTTTTTCCTTTGCAAAAATGTCGGATAGGGCTTCGTTAAGTAGATATTAATAAAAAAAAACCGACCAATCAGAGCGCGCGTAGACCGTTGGAGCGGCCGCGGTAGCGAAGGCTACGCGCTGAGCGGCCGCGTCAATATCCTTCGATGCACGTCGAGTCACTTGTTCGCGTACGAGAGCGGCTACCTAGCGCGTAGCTATCGCTATCGCGGCCGCTCCATCGGTATCCGCGCGCTCTGATTGGTCAGTGTTTTCCGTTAATATCTCCTCAACGAAGCCTCGGACAACAATTTCGCTAAGGAAAAAGTTGTTTCAAATCAGCCCCTGAACCACCCTTTTCAAGGACCTCCAACATTTTTGGGACACCCTGTATATATATAAGATTCCATTAAAGAAAATAATAATAAATACAAATATTTAATAACCTTAATAATCGGAAAAAAAATGACCGATACAAAAGTCTCATAGAACCAACTTAATTTCATTGGTAACATTTTTCGTATCTTGAAACTCGACAACTTGCAAATTCAGTAACAGAACATTAGCAAGTAATTGAATTCTACACTAGGGACTTCTAAGATTTTTCCTTATCAAGGGGCAAGTTTGAGAATCACTGGTTTATGTAATCAATTACTGTACCGTTACTCCGATTTGCCAGTTCTGACCTTGACTCACAACGACTCACGACACTTGTCGTTTGCAGTACTCATTGTAACTTCCTATTTGAACGCAAACATTCGACTTGGTTTCACGCGTGGAAGACAATGCGAACGTTTAATGGCAAAGTGGGGAGGAGCGGTTTAAGGACAGAAGTAACGAGTAATTGCAGCGTTTTAATCGGGCGAGGGAAAGCATCGGAATCAGCGATGCACAGCGACGCAATAACACGGTAAAATTCAGTAATCCGCGTGACCGCGAATGGAGTTGATTGCGCGTAAACACGAGGCTGCATAAACATTTATAAACGCAATTTGTTTGGAATAAGAACACGTATGCATTTCTAGAAAATTTGAATGTGGCAGAAACTACAAAATGCACACAGTAAGCAATAATAATAATAATAATAATGATGATGATGATAATAATAATAATAATAATAATAATAATAATAATAATAAAATACTGAAAGTAAAATTCATATTATAATACTTGCATAGAAAAATGAATTCTTATTTAGGTTTAGTGTTTGTAGGTACGTTTGCAAAGATTTTATTTTGCATAAAGATCCGCAGTCTAATTACAAAATTTATGAATTTTAGAATTATTCTACCAGAAAGTTCAAATATATCTTTAACCTTTAGAAACAAGTATTACATTTACTATTGTGCTATAAGTATTACACTGACTAATAATTAATCGAGACTTTTGTTGTATCCCAAATAGAAGTGTCGTAGTTTGTAAAATGGACTGATGCTTGATTGTACTCGATCCTGCTACACAACAATAGCTAATCGGAGCGATGAAACAACTGGACTCGATGTACCAGCTGTATCTGATCATCGTCGACGGAATCGTATCGCCGCCCCCGCAAATAAATCACGCGCGCCAAAACGGGGGCGCGAAACGAAAGCGTTTATCTCTCGTTTAACGCGACGCTGGATGCGAATATCGTTCCAGTATGGTGAACGATAGTTGGTTCGTTGTTTGGGAAAAATTCGCGGCTAAACTCCACCATGTGTAGCCGATAACTTTGAAAAGAACTGGCAAACGTTGTTATGAAACTTTCGCTACCAAACCCATTCTGTTCCTCGACGCTACCAAATAAAATGCAACACGCCTTATGTCGATTAGGTTTAAACGGTAGAAATAGTTACAAATGAACGTTCTATTCTACATTTAGGTTTAATATCATGTAATCAAAGAAGTCTTTTTTTTTTTTATTTATATCATCACATAACCAACGATAGAAATAACAAACTGATTAGTGAAATATGTATTTTAAACTACAATCTAAGTTTTACATAAATATAATTTTATAGGAATATAAAGGCACGAGGCACATTCGCTAAAATAACCAAGCATGTAACAAAAGGATTGACGAAATACAAATCTTGAACTGCTCCCTAATTTCACCACAGGATTAAAAACTAGATTTACTGGTCCATAAAGTTCCAAAAAAAAATTGAATTCAACGATCCGTAAAGTTCACCTGAAAGTCTTCGAAAACTTCTAATTCCATTTCGCGAATACGCTCAATGAAAGCGCCTTTTAATTACCCTAGTGGGCCGAATAGTCGACGGAATTTTCATTCGTGCATGGCGAGTTATGAAATCGCACTTTTCCCCCGTTTAATAACCAAGTTAATTTCCTACGCTCAGTTTTCCTGCGCGAACCGTTGGAAATCTTCGATCCATTAATCTTTTCACGATGGCGTTCTTGTCCCGAAACCTTAACGCACCGCCAAAACTTCGACACCTAATTACCGCCCATTCGCCACTCGTGAAACTTTTCGCAACCTGGTCACGTCGTAAATTGAGTCTTCACGTAGATGAACGAATTCAATGTTTTCATCAACGACTCGCCATTATATTTGCGGTTAGGTTGATCCCTACGTGTGTGGGTATTTCTTGTAGACGAAGCTTCGAAGCCACATGGGTTGTATTCGCTACTTTTGCGTAGTCAACAAAAGGTATTAGCTGTATGAAATTCGAAATTTGTGTGTCTGTGTTTTCTACAATTCTCATTGTTTTTGTTTGAGGCTGATGAATTTTTTGGTGTTTTAATTTTCGAGAAAATCGAGTTTGAAAATCCTATTCGTGCGTATGCTGTTACGACTAAGTTACGTAATTGATCAAATAAAATATTGTTCGTTGAAAGTTTTCGGTGTATTTTCTCTGGAACTCGGTAACTTTTAAACGCTGGGCAGACATTGTTTATAAACACGATACGCGTAACTCAGCCGTAACAGCGATACGTACGAATAGGAATTTCAACCTCGATTTTCTCAAAAACTAAGCTTTAATTGAAAAAATTATATTCTATATTTTGTTCTTATTTTTTCATGAGGAACCACCTCGAGCCGATGGTATATATTATTCAGCCGCACCCTGTATAAAGGCAAGCATGTATCCAAATTCGTTTTTGTCCAAGTCTCCTAATTAATTTTACTAAATCGACTTCACTTATTAAAATATTACTTCAGTAATAGAAATCCCATCGTAGGTCCTCACACCCTTCAGCGGTTGTAGCCGTGTTTGTAGCTACGGTACGGGCTTAGCAATCCCGAGGTACCCGAGCTAGAGAGGGGCCAGCGGGCCCCAATAAATGAGAAGTAAGAGATACTGCAAACAGTATTAAAACAATACAGGAATCGTGTAAGACGACGATAAGAAGAATGGAAATAAGCTAGTAATAAGTAAGCAGTAGTGCAATAACTTTGTATAAATTACCCACTTTAAATAAATGAATGTAGGTGTCCTCACACGATGCAACGTGTCCAGGATCATGATGTTGTAGTGCGCTAGGGAGATAGACGAAAGTCAATACTCTCGTTATTCCAATTCACCGGCTGCTGTTTACATTGGGAAGGACAGTGAGCAACAGTGGGACGATAATTTCAATTTCGCAAGTGGTAGGGGTCAACTTCGTGGCAACCTGCGAGGGTGACGCACGCGTGATAGGGCAAGAAGCAAAGATCGCTGGATCTAATTATATTAACGCGGCTTTGGCGTTATCGATTAACTCGCTTTTCGTCGATTCGCGCCATTTAAGCTCCATTCGAATTACCGCGGCACTAAATCGGCGTCCATGCGTTCGTCTCTCTCTATTCGGGCGTCCTGTTAACGAGAAATTAGCATGTGCCGGGCTGCGCGCAAAGCAGGGGACGGCTTAAACCGATTAGCGAGAATCGATGGGCCCGGAACCTTCGACCGCGACCGCATTTAACGGAGCGCACGCACAATGGGCGACGACGCCTTGCCGCGGGATCTAGAAAATTGAGATTTCCTTCTTTCGACGTTACGCTTTGAGCTGTTCGGTGTTATCTTCCAGTAAAGAAGATTTCTGAGTAAAGATTGACTGGGTGTGCAACATATTGGGCGTTTCAAAATGTCGTAATAACTAGACTGCGAATATTTATGCACTTGTGACAAGTATAAATGTACAAAAATGTACAAGGATGCGTGCGAATGGATAAACATATCAAATTTGAAATATATGTTACAGCATTTAGAAGATAAAACATATTTTCGTTTAAGTTTTTATTCTTCATCTGTGTATATACAAATAGGAATTTGCATAAACATCCTCTGTCTAGTGATAATTAAATCGATGTTATTTTATAGCATTTGTTTTGTAGGTAATTTCGCAAGGACTGGCTTAGGTATTTGGGAAAATTCAGTCTTGGAAAAATTATATAAATTATTAATATATATTCGAATTATACTAACGATTCCATGTACATATTTTGTTTCAGGTTGATTTAAAACCACTCAGAGAGGCGACGATCACTGTCCCATCGCCAAAGATCTCCGAAAAGCGAAAGTCTGAGGAAGCCGATGTCAACAAGGATTTGAAAAAGGTGAGCCACTCAAAAATACATCGGTATCGTCCCTCCTGACTTAATATTCCCGGATTATATAAGAAGCTCCTCCTCCCTTACATGAAGTAAAAAAAGAGAATAGAGTGGAGCGTAGACTAGCCTCTCCAAAATCTATTTTGAAACGCGGCAGCCAACGATGCCAACGATGGCTCCTTGGCCACCGAAATCGGTATAACAGGTCCGGAACGGTGCGCGTATTTCATCCACTTGTCGCGTATCTCGGTCGTTCTCGTCGATATTCGACGCGGAGAGCGTCTCGGCGCCGCCGTCACGGGCAGCGTCCTCGTTAGTTCACAACGGGCAGTCGTCATTAACGAAATAAACGCCCGTGAACCTTCTACCTTTTGAAATTAGACGCTGTTCTCCGCCTTCGACGCCGTTAAATATTCGCCTCGACGCTTCCCAACTCGAGGGCTTTTCGATCTTCCATTTTTTCAACAAAACGTTGTCTTACAGCAGCGTTTTCGTGTTACAAAATCTGTTGGCACCTGACGTGGGGATTGTGTAAGAAATTTTGATTGTTAGGTGACTACTATGCTTTAAATCATTTTTCTTGAGGAACCTTGTTTTAAAACTCCTTTTCTTTTTTTCCTTTCTTAAGATTTGTTCTATACGTATGATATTCAGAGGCAGATTATGTTGAGTAAAGCTTTCGAAAAATTGCAATAGAATATCCTTAATCAGTCGATTAAATGTTTTCAAGAGAAATTTGGAACTGTGTTCGTGGAGAACTTTTCATTTTTGAAAACGTCGATATCCATTGGCTGGAAAATTTACCGTAAGTGTAATTTTGCTGAAATTTCATAACACCTTCTCGTGTAATTTTCCTGTTTGCGTCACGAATGGTTTGACGCTGAAAAATCGTTTGATCCCATCGACGTCCAATTTCGTTTAAACAATATTACGTATAGAGTTCCTGTCGATGAATTTATTTATTTATATATCGTATACTTGCTAACGGACTCTCACCGAAGTAGATAAATAAATATTTAAACGCAACGAATTGTCCTTATTGGAAATTCTGAAAATACTGACGGGAATTTCAACGATCATTTTCCAGTTGTAATATCGCGTTATATTGTAATTAATTTTCAATAGTTGCAGCTCAAATATGCCAGTATTATCTGTTTTCATCTCCTACCTAGGGAAGACTTGGAAATAAATTCATATCTTTTCATTATAATGCAACTATGCGTATTTCATTCGATTTCAATCAGTCTTTCTGTTTTATTAAATACATTTTTCTTTTTTGTAGTAAAATTGTTAAATTTATTTATTTTTATTCGAATAGAATTCTCTTTTTTCATTATTATTTTCTTTTTTTTTTTTATTCTAATACATTTTCCCGCTATATTTGTTTTTGTAACGCATTGTTTTCTGTTATTCTCTCTTGCACTTTTTTTTGGTTTTACTAACGCTTTCCATAGAAATTTTAAAAAAGGTTTCAAATAAACCTCAAACAGAATAAAATTCCACTACAAAAATGTAAATATGTCTTCTATCTTCTATAACAAAGAACATATTAGCTTTAGTTTCTTCGCATAGTTTCATTAATTACGAACTAAGTTACAAAGCCTCAGACACGACTTCGTCTGACTTTCGCCTTATTTTGGCTTGCGGAATCACCCCCAACATATTCACCACCGGTAGGTAAATACCCTGGTACGTAAACGCTAAGAATAGAACGCAAAGAATTTCATCCCTTCGCCCTGAATTTCACGTCCTTCTCTTTCCGACCGCGTCGTTTCTCTAATTTCGTTGCAATTATCCTCGCAAGAATAGGCTGCAGTTGGATAATTTACCTTGGTTTGTTTATTTTCTTTTTCAATGTCAGAATAAGTTCATTCGACCCCCTCCCCCTCCCCCCTCACCCTTGTACATTCTCAGCAGCTCGAGATCCGCTCGAAATTAATTGCCGAAGGTAGCGCTTAAAGTCTTAAACGGGACTGCTCCGACGTTGGAGGACTTTGTTAATCCGTTATTAATCCACGGAAACGCGCGTAGGAATTTGAAACAAATTCGTCGAGCAGCTTGCACGTGAATTTATCGATTGTATATCGTTTACAGAAGTAGAGGACAAAATTGTCCTCGAAAAAAGGAAAAAGCAAACATTTGCCCAACGTTTTTGGCTTTTTTCTCGAAATTTCGATTCTCGAATATTTCAATCGAAATACCTTGGTTACTAAAGAAATTATAGCGCACTGAAATCTCTGCTCACTAAACATTAAATAAATTGAAATTTCTGAATATTATTGCTAATATTATAGATTTGCTGTTTTTGTATCGCAATTTGTTTTTAGCATTTGCATGCGTTAATTATTCGTTGCATCCAATTTCTGTTCCTCAACGACCGCTGAACCCTTTATCTCGAGAATTTTGTTAAAATTCACCGTCAGTGGCACAAAGATCGTCCCGTTGTTTGACTTCGAAGACATCCGAGATCGAGATCTCGAAGGACCTAATACTTCTGATGAAGATTGAAAAGACTCGAGAAGCTTTCAAGCTCTCCCGTTCACTTTTCCCCGACTCCTCTGCAAATTTGTGTAGGAATTTAGCTGTACGATAGTTGGAATCACTTCGAAGACGTTGGGAGGATATTGAAAGTCCTTGAGGAACTATTCTCTGTGTAAATTGAGGAGAGGATTAGCGAAAGTTTTCCCTGTTTTGACATTTCTTTTTCGAGATAAGAAAACTCGTATGCGGTTTTCAAATTCTGCCACACTTGATCCTGAATCTGCACGAGTAAGATATACGGTGAAATATTTGTTGATGAATTTTTTATTGTAAATTGAATAGACGTGCGCGAGAACAGTACTCTTTCCATTTACAGAAAAATATAAATATTTGTTTCGCTGTATTTGCAGTAGGAGAAAGAATGTGTATTTTTTCACTGCGTTATATTTGACGAAATCGACATTTATATGTTTAAATGGCTCAGAGAACAGAAATTGTTTATTTTACATTGAGATTCTGAACTACGCGTAATATCATATGAAAGAGTCATTTAATATTAAAATAAGGTTTTATACAATAGCTTGTTTATCATATGGTTTGCAAAATAAAAAGATAGCGCCTCAGGTAATGCGTGTGAATTAATGTTGTCATGTACGTAAAAGTAAACGTTAGTGTATGTGTAGGGACGTTAGTATCGATTTCCAGAGGATTTTTACAAAGTCATTTTAAATCGAGGATCAGGCGTAATGAACAGAACAATTCAATTTATATACATGTACTTTGATGTCGCATGTAATTTCAGTGTCGCACCGCGAGCTTGACATTCTCGTTAATTGGTAGGCCCCTTTTTAAGTCTCGATATAACAAAAGAGTTACTCCACGACAGCCTTTAAGTTCATGGCCCTTCGTCGGTTGTTGTATCGTTAATTTTAATTTTTGTTCCCAGCAAACAGAGCAATTTTTACTCGCAATCGTATTGAAATTTAATTTTCCAGAAGAGGTGAAACGACGGAACAGTAATTTAGATTTTCCACTTCTCAACTTTCGCACAGCTCGAATGGAAAATAAAATTCTGGCACCATTCGTTAAAATCGTCACGTTCAAAGTAACAATTATCGTCGTAATAACTGCGCCATCAACAGAAACTCTGGTTTATTCAATACTTGAACAAAGAACGTCGAAGCAAATGGAAAAAGAGTTTTAACTTCGTAGTGGTATCGCGTAAAGAAAATTTTTCGTAGAGTTGTTACAATTCTGTGTTTGTAGGTCACTAACATTTTGAAAAATGAAAGATACAGCTTCTAATTTCCCCTTGTCCGCTTGTCGACTGAAAATTGTCAGAGAAATTGTTTTCACGAAACAAGGGAAAAAGCAAACGGCGGAGTGTAAGACCGTTAAAAAAAAAAAAAAAAAAAAGAAGAAGATGTCGACGGGACTGAAAATGATTAGAGAACGTGGACGAAAAACAAAAATGAAAAAAACGAGGTGGAACAAGAGAGGTTAACTCTGCGGAATCGAAGGACGCTTGGTGTCGCGTTAACACGCCGAAAAAACCCTACTCCACCTACGGCGTCGGTGCAGTTTGTTGCCGCCTGTTGCTGTGCGACGTCGACGCTTTTCGCGCAACTCCCAGAAAAAAGTACTCCGTGCCTGTCGAAACATGGCACGGATCTGGCCGTCTGATAAACGAAGCATCGTCGGCATCGAAATAATTTAAACAATTTTGTGGTGCAACGCCGGCTGTCAACGGTTTAAAAGAAATTAGAAACTTCGTTTTACGTTGATCGATAGTTTTTTCGACCTTCAATATTAGCGTCGAAGGGTCCTATTGAAGGATTAGTGCCGATAACAAAGACATTAGAGGCGCCTCCAAAGTTATTTCCAAGGTCATCTCAAGGTCACCAATGTTTTTTTTATCTAGTATTCCACATCTTTTATTACATTAACGTATAGTTGATGTTGAGATGAGTCGAAGGATTGAGGACATCGTGACTTTTAAATCACCTTGATCACAATATTGTTCTTTGTTACGTCCAAGTATGAAATTATTTCCTATCTCACTTCACTCTTATTTTTAATAACAGAGAAGATATTTAATTCATCGTGGTGAATCCCCCCCCCCCCGGCGTATTATCTACCAGAAGATATCAATATAGAGTAAATATTATCCAACATTATCCAACGATAACAATGATTTTTTAAGCTTCTGTAGAAAAGTGTCGAATAATGGTTTGAATAAAAGAACGAATATAAATTTTGTTGGTAGTGCCTCGTCAATTTTAATGCACCGTTAAAGGATCAATGCCCCGACCGACTCGATTTAAAGATATCGACGAGGATCAGTGAAAGAGAAGATCCTTTTAACGTCGCAGTTCGATAAGCTTGTACACGGCTGGTATTCGAGCTTGTTACGGAGAGGAACTTTGTCCTTTCACGGTTGAAAGGAAGCTCCGAAGAAAGGACGCTCGGGGACGCGAGCCTAAATGGGAGGATGTTGGGGCAAAGATTTCGGTGCCGCCGAAGGATCCTTTGAGCCACGTAAGTTCCCTTTAGAAAGAAAAAAAAAAACCAAGACGTAGAATACTCTTTGGAAAATAATCCTGAAAGTAAGAAGAACTGGAAGCTTTCCAGTGACTTTGAAGCTTTAAAATACTTGTGTGGGACAGAAACCATGATCTTTTGTGTAAATTTATTTCAAACGTCCTTGGAATTTCACTTTTCTAGAGTATTCCTTTTGACGTAGAAAAGTCCCTCTTGGATTACCGACTGCTCTTTTGGTGTCTTTTCTGGAGCCTCGTAATGATACTTTGACGGTTAAATTGTAGATCTACTTTAATCCACTTTAATCGTAAAGCTTTCTTTGCGGTCCTACATTTTTTAATATTTTATATAACTTACTTAACGTTGCAAAGGTTGATAGATAATCTTCGCTTAGTATGGTTCGTTCTTTGTGAAGCTTATCTATAGAATTGTAGAAAAAAAAAAGTGAATCTACAGTCAAAAAAGAGCTTCTACGGATTAAATGCTTTAAAATATATCCAACAGGCCATGCTTCTTTATGAACTAAAAGTTTTAACGAATGACGGAGGTATTATAGAAATAAAATGAATTCATAAATTACAAATAGCGAATTTATAGTATTAGAAAACAATATTAAGTTAGTCGCAATAGGAGAGTATTAAATAAACTTTGATTAATAGAGAAAACAAAGTAATATCCATATACATAGAGGGTGATTAAATTATTCCTTTGCTGTCAAAAAACCAAACGATTTACACTTCTCAAATTCTCATACATCCTCCCTTTCAGTCTACTATTTCAAAGGCCAGAAACTTCAAGAAAATAACTAAAAACAAAAAAAAAAAAATCAATTCTTTTCAATCACAGAACTAGACGAATCCCTTCCCCGGCAGAGTCGTATTTCTCCCCAGATAGAGAGGGCGGGGGGCCGGTTTATCGTCTCACAGGGCGCGAAGTGCTCCGAAAAACGAGCCGCGAGATCTGTTCGCCAACAGAAGAAAAAATCTCATCAACCGTGGAAACGAGACGCGGCAAAGTGGGTGAAACCTAAACGGACGGCTTCAGAATTCACAGGGGAAAGATGCCCTCCGGCCAGCGAAACCTACAAGGGGAGCGGGGGTGGGGGGAGGTGGTCGATGGTGGAAAGGAGACATTGACTTGTAGACAGAAACCATGACTGGAAGGGGTCGCTGGTGGGCGAAGGGAGGCCTTCAGGGCGGGTCGATACAGCCGAAAGTCCAGAGCGGGGCGAGTGGCGCGAAAATTCGTGCGGATGGAAACATAAGTCGGCCGAGAAGAGTGCGCGGGGGTGGGCCTGGGGTACAGGTGGAACGGGGACGCAGCCGAGGGTGGTTTCTTGCTCTCCTTTTTTCCTTCGGTTTATTTTCCTAGCCCGCAACTTTCCAGAGTTTCGACATCGTGTCTGGCAACTTGAGAAACACTTTCTTTCACACGATTCAATGCCTCCTCCTGACAAACCTTAAGCGGGGAGTATGGTCTAGCAAAGGTTTTTTTCCAATTGATATCATTTTAAAATGCTACCAGAAGTAATTCAATCATACAGGGTTTCCCACCTAACTTGACCGCCATAAATGTTTCACTTATCTTCCATAATGAGGGGACAAAAATGTCACCGGGAAACAGATTATTTGTTCTAGAAAGGGTAACACCAATTACGACAAACAATTTTTCTCTAAGTCATATGTGACAAGATTTCATCGATATTTTTGAAGAATAATCAAGGATATTTTATGGCATCTCCTTCATGGGACCCGTTCCGGTAACGCTGCGCTAAAGACCCTTTTCAATTATGTCCCTCCGTTGCTAGATTATCGATCAACCCGGTGGAGTTGTTTGCACGTTCCGAATGTGTGTTACATGTCCAGTTTAATCGGATTTACATGGGTCGATGTTTCGGCTAATTATTGTCTTAATTAAAACGCGCAACGCGTACGAGCATGTATGCAGGAGTGGGCTGCGATGGCACGAGAATATTAGGATCCATTAATGTAATGCTCCGTTTGTTCCGAGAGTGGGAAAATCGAGCATCCGGCTGTCGTTCCGGGGCTTTAATTACCGCGCTGATTAACAGATATTAAAACGAACCCAGCCGTATGACTTTCTGTACCATTCTGGTCGTTCATCAAGTGTAATAAAATCGATGTTTACGGTACCGATGAAAACAAATACTTTCCGAACGCTTCATTTTTACAGTGAATTCTTTTTATCGTTCGCTGAAGTAAATTTGGCCAAGTGAAACGTGTAACAAAAAAGCGACACCAAGAAGTTATCTCGCTTTCAAGTAAACTCTCGAATTGTCTACACGCGAAAACTCTCGAATATAAAATTCAATTAATTTTAAATTTAGTCATTTAAATCCTGCCCGACGCGGTCGTAAGTTTTTCTTTTCAAGGTTTGTTGAAAATTTTAATGAAGTATGCAAATTCGACACGCAAGGGGTGACTGTTCTGATGAAAGAATTTTTTTATGGGGTATTAAGGAACGAGCGCGAAGCTAAGGATACTTAAATTGAAATCGGTAAAATGTTAATTAATTGTGTGTATTAAATGAACTTTCGCGAATTAAGAGGATTATGTGCTCCGGACCCTTCGTTCGGATGAAATTCTAAATTAATTCCTCTGCCTCTTGCTGGCTTCTTTGAAATGTATGAATTCCATAAACGTCGAGCCTCGAAAATGTCTTTTAAAATACTTCGTGGATTCACTTTCTGCGGAAGGTACCTGAATCTGGTAAAAAATTCAAAACCACTTACGTGTAGGTGCATAGTCTCGAGATGTATTTAATAATTTGTTAGAGTGATATATAGGGCTCGATGTATTTTTTTTTAGCAAGGGAAAAATTAACAAGAAACAATGTGTCTGATTAATCTTTTGTTTCGCGTAGAAAGAACTTAAAAAGCTAAAGAATTAGTAATTTAGTATGTGACTTGAAATTCGATTCGATAATTCTTAGTTTCCTAGACACAATAAGTTCTAGTGGACTGCAAAACATTTTTCGAAATTTTTATCTAAAATCCCCTGTTGAGTATGCAAATTCAACACGCAAAAATAAAAATACCTAAAAATACCAAATTTGTAACGATATTCTTCAATTATTATTTACTAATTATAATCTGTGGGAAATGAAGAATCGAACCAATTTTAGCTAGTTTGAATCTATTTTTCGGTCGAAAGGATATGTCAGCAGTGTTAAGCGATAAATGCTGCGTTTTTGGTAGACAGTTGCGTTTCACAGCGCGGAAAAACTCGCAACGGCCGCGCGAAAAGCAATGAAAGAATTATTGGCACGGGATCGAAGAGAGAATTAGTGTCAGCCGCGGGTAAAGTTATTTCGGACGGCCGAGCGACGCACTGGCTGCTATAATTGAAGGCTAGCAGAGCGCGGAACGCTGGAATAGCAATGGATCGCGGAAAACAAAGAGAAGATTGTTCCGTTTGTGGTTTGGCATGCTACAGTGACGCTGAACCCGGAAATGATCGCAAACCTCCACGATTTTCCTTTTTATCTGTAACCAAAATTTTCCCAATTTTATCGTAGTCAACGTACACTAGTTAAACGGCATCCTTTACTTTCGTAAAATAGGCTCGCCCTCTTAACTATGTACAAATTCAATTGCAAGAAATATCATTCTAGTAAAAGTCCTCGTTCAACGTTGAAAATTTACTGACGATAAACAAATACGCGAAAAAGTTGTTTAAGAGACTTTATGCGATTTGAGTTAGGTTAGAAAGTTTCTTTTGTGTAACCAAAAAACTTGGACTCTATAGGCGAAGCAATCAAAGTTTTCTCACGGAATGGCAGTGAAAAAGGCACTGCCAGAGTTCGAGACTGGCCGTTGGTGGAACTTTACACTTTTATCACGAGACGCGTTTGATACCGGCCCTTTTTTCTTCCCGTTCGCCGTGCTGTATCAGCAGCCAGTGAAACATGAACTCCGTGGCTGACCACATCGGTCACTATCTACTGAACGACTAACCGCGGATGATAAATGCCGTTCCGAATTATTGCGCCGCCTTATCTTTGGCTGGCGTTCCTATTTTCACGGCGATCTGTTCAACTCTGCCAGCGTTCGCGCGGATTTCGTGGGAAGTTTGGGGTTTTTTTTACTAACAAGTGCAATCCTGTGATAAATGAAAGCTCGTGCAATCCAGTCAGTGTAAACATTTTCGTTGCTAGATTAAATTCTTTCCACGTACACTTTCTTATATTATACTACCATTTATTAAATATATTTCTAATTTTTAAAATTTCGGTACGATTGAAAGTTTCTTTTTGACGAATTTTATAGTTAACATTTATTACATATATATATTTTTTTTTATGTTTTCCATACTATTCTATGCTATAAATGAATAGAATCCGCAGTCTAGTTATAACGAACTATTAGCTATGAATCGTATATAATACAAAACTCGGTGTTGTTCATTTTCGGTTACTCGCGATATATTTAATTTGATTTCTTCACCTGATAGTACTGTGCTTCACTCCAAGATAAAAATCCCTGCTCACCGCGCTTTTACATGAACATTCTACATATACTCAACGACATTACTCTAGTTGCTTTCTCGAAGAAACATAAACAGTTGAAAGGAATTGAAAAGTTTACCATCGACGATATTTGAATTCCAGGCGCGAAAGTCTATCGCGAGACTCTCCCAAGACGGATTACAATTGGTAGCTGCCAGTAATTCGACCCTCCTCGATTCCCCTCGTTCATTTTCCCTCCCAGGATTCCCGTCGACCATGCGTCGAGCAACGACTGACCATACGGTTCACTTATCCAGCTCGCCCTTTGTTCCAGGCGAAATTGGAAACGAAAGCCCTGAAAGCGAAGAGGCCGGGATTCACAGACGAACGGTACAACGAGACCAGCTATTACGTGGAGAACGGTCAGTATATTCTCTTCATACGTATATAGATCGTTTCATGTTTAACAGGTTGACCAGCACTTTGAATTTACAACGTACCTAGAAATTGCTCATGACTGTACAATCTATTCATCGTCTTTGAGAGTACTCCAATTTAGAAAAAAAAAGAGATAGATCAATACAAGTTTTAGCTGGACGTAGATGTCTTCTTCTCATAGTTATAGAAACATGAGTATCCCCATAAATTCGTCAACGGAAGTTTAACTGTAAAACGTTGCAAAAATGTTTGTATACGTATATCCAATTGTATTATTTTCTAGACTACATGATATTACTGTTTGGCTAGTATTACTAAAAATTAATTAAATATTAATATTAATATCTTAGATTAATATTAAATATTATTAAATTTCAATAAATAACTATTTATACCATACATTTGTATACATATATTTATTCGTGCTATTTATATTACTATTTGGATAATATTAGTGAATATTAATTATCGAATATTATTAAATATAAATAAATAGCTATTTACGCGATACACATTTCACACCGAAAATGTCTCCCTCGCGAGTCTCGTATTAATTACAGTCGTCCTCGTAGCGCCACAGCTAATTCCGTTACTTCGTTTCAATTTACGTTTCAAAACGTGGGGTGTCCATAAAATTATACTCATAATTTGAGGTTAATAAATCGGCAAACAGCTTTTGCGTTCAGTGCACAACAAATCCACACTGGCACGATACGTTGCCAAATCCGCGAAACGGTCCAGGCACGTTTAACAGCGAATCAGGTTACCGTGTCCCACCTCCCATCGGACTTCTCAATTCCCCAGGTCGAAAGCCCGTGTCCCATCGCCTCATTAACCGCGTAACGAACGACTCCCAGGTATCGTTCAATGATCAATCAACGATCATAAATCCGAGCGCGAGCCATTAATCGCGCACGCTGTTCCGAGAAACAAGCTGGCTCAAATGACTCCCACGACGCACTTTGACTGCATTAACGTTTTCACACGGGTTTTCGATATTTAATCTTAAACTTAATTATGTGAATTATATTATTTAGGATTTTAATTGATCTGCACATTTTTTTTTTGAGAAAGAATCGAGTATAAGAAAAACACAATATAGTAGTAGAAATTGGATGTATCGAGTATGTTAATTTATTTCGTTGATTTTTGCAAACGGTGTGATGAAAGATAGAAATATTCAATAGTTTATCTAAGCATTGTTGTTTTACAGCGTTGCTAGCAATGGTTGTTTTATCTGTGTTATCTTATCGATACCAGACTATTAGTCAAGCCTTTTATTTCTTTTTCAAGCGACTTAATACATTGACTAGAGACAACTGTAAATAAAATTGTTTCACTCAGCTCATCATTTATCGATGAGAATCCTACAAAAAATTGTCTAAAAACCGTATACAACTCGAAGACGGGGAACGCGAGTGGTTCCGTGACTGGTTGCATATTTCCATTTCGATTTGACTTCACTTTCCAGTGGAAAGGTGTCGGGCGAAACGGATGGTTAGAGAGAAGAAGATGGGCGAATGCCATTGATCGTTTCATCCGCGTTCGCGTCGATCTTACACCGGTAACTGCAGGCTTGCCAGCACTGTTCCGAGGTAATCGTGGATAATCCCGCGAATGGGCGCGATCCGAGCAATAATCCAACGAGGATTCTCCACCTTCGGCCGGGTTAGCTGGCGCGGTTAGCGCGCGTGGCAATGGCAGCGCTATCGAATAGGGAAAAAGGGACGCGACAGAGCCAGACAAAAGAAGCTTTTTTCCCGATGTTCTCCCTTTCATCGACCTACCCTGTGGCCTCGAGTTTTTCCTTCTTTTCATATTCATCCGTATAATAGCCCTGAGAGCTTTGCAGCTTTGTACAATTTTTTTTTTTTATCGCAATTCAGACCCTCTTCATCAAATGACGTAATTATCTACATACAGAGTAAATGAGAAATGCAGAATTGTTTTTTCAGGTTCGTGTGTATGGTATTAATTTTATTACTTTACTAGCAGTGGAATAAATGCTATATTTTTCAATACACAAGGTGGTTTATCTGATGCCACCACCTTTGTTTACGTCTCCACCTTTGGTCTTGCTTAATTTTTTTTTTTCAAATTACAAAATCGTCAGTTTACTCTATCCCTTAAGAACCTTACCTTCTTCCACAGATTTGTTCATAAAATTCGAATCTTGGATTCTGAAATTCGAGTAAAGGTAACAGTTTGTATGGAACAACGAACTCTCTCCAAACGCAACTAGCATCCCAAAAACTACACCAGCCGTATCGTTAACCGCTTCGAGCTCTCCTCGGTAAGCTTTCGATATCGAGGGATAAATGTTGCTAACGAGCCAAGCTCAGAGTCAGTCAGCTGCGTTTGTCCGTCAAATGATTCACGGTTGACGTCGATAATGTGCTCACCGCGACGTAGATACACAGAACGACGTCGCCGCGGGGGCGTACTTTAATTACAGGACGTATCGACACTCGATAAATCGGCTCGTCGCGGCCCTTTCCCATCGCGATATTAATTTAAACCGGCTCGCTTTCTAATATCCAGCGCGTGTCTCGCGTCGTGGCGAGCATCTGTTTCCGCTCGACAACGCTCCGCAACGCACCAGCTGAATCGATCCACCGCACCGAATAATGGAGCGACGCGGGATAGTCATCGACACGTCGGTTTTTAATTAACGCCGATACGTAATTAAAACGACTCACTCTCCCTTCGACGCGTCTTGGTGACGTACAATGGAAATTATTATCAGGGATCGGAAAATTCCAGCAAAGGAAATTCCAGGCGTCATTTTTTGTGGCATATACGTGACGATGGAATCGATGAAGTTGGCAATATTTGTGAAATTAATGGAACTGATGAAATTGGTAAAACTGACGAAAGCTTGTTAAAATTGGCAGGATCGATGAAATTTTAACTTAATTTCAAAATCTATTTCACCAATCCCATCGATCCGGCCAATTTTAACACGTTTACCATTTTATTAATTCCATTAAATACGTCAACTCTAACAATTTCATCAATGTTACCAACGCTTCAATTTGAGTAATTTCATTAATTCCATCAGTTTCTTCAATTTATTGTCAATGTTTATCGACAGCAGTGTGTCGCATCACACCTGTTAACAAACAGCATGTATATATTTGAGAATTTTATACGTCAAAAACAATAAAAAACAATTGTCTCATTTCAAACGAAAAACTCCGATTCAATATCAGAATTTCTAGAAAATTCGCTTTTAAAAATTCCATGTACTACATAGTTGATACATACTTTCGAATTTGATCTTTGCTTCAAAAGCGTCCTGGTAAACCTCATCATAACCATTACCACGCTTCAGCCTCCAATGCATTCTCAACATTACGATCAAATTCATAAAAAAAAATCCACCCACAGTCTTTGTTTCCTTTACCTCGGATACCTATCGCTGAAATCAAGTAACCCCCCTTACCCACCACTGAATTGCTCCCCGAAGTTGACGAAATTCGAGTCGTTGGCCAGTCATCGATTCCATTGAAGTTCATTATTGCAAGTTGCAGTCGCGGTCGCGATAACAGGACCGGTTTGGCGTAGTCGAAAGGAAAGGTGGTGCCCGAAGCACGTAAGGACCGAGTCTCGCGGAGCAAGTGTGCCGTCGAGGAGGTTTCGCGAACGAGTGGGAGACGAGAATCGCGGTGTCGGTGGTTTGGTAGGGGGCGAGGGGGCAGAGGAATCGATCGAATATTTAGACCCACGAGCATATCGACAACCGATATCTGCTCCACATTCGAATAATAGACTCGCGCGCGGATGACGACGTGCTGCCGGGGCATCCTTCGGTTCCTCCTCCGACGAAACAAAGACCTATTAATGCCACTCGAAAGACACACGCCCACCGATGTGCCTCCCCTGCATCCACCTACCCTCACCCCACTCCATGGACGTAGCCTTAACGCGAGAAACGCATTCCATTACCGGGATACTTCTGACACGAACGCCCCTGCGATCTCCTTCCCTTGGCAGGTCTCACCGCGACATTGTTCCCGTTGTCAATTCGCGATTTTATGGTTGGAGTGGATCTCTCGGAGATTAGCGAACGTCGCTGCTACTTTGAGGTTCAGGGAGAAGGGCTACTTTGGCTGGAGAACGTTAATTGTTGCATCGGTGCTCTGGAGCAGGAGCTCGAACTTCAGGGATTTGAGACTTTTGAGTTCTTAGACTTAGTAGTTCGATAGAGTGTTCTCGTAGGTCGTGGTCTGGGTAGGTGAGGATTTGGGCGTACTGAGGCGGTGCTATTGACAAAGCTGCTGTATCTTCACTATCGTAGAACGAGGGACACCTTGAATATTTTCTATCATTTCGTGATTAGATGAAGTGGGAGTGTCAGGTCCGCTTACTCTAGTTCTGACCATCTGAGACTCGACAAAAGTGATCCTCCTTGATTGCAGTGGACCTTTCACAGATTAGCAAATGCCACGGTCACTTTGAGGTTTGGTGAGATGGGCTTCTTTGGCTGGGGGACGTTCTTTGTGGTAGCGGTACTCTGGAGCGGGGTTTAAGACGTCAGGGATTTGAAACTTCTGAGTTCTTAGACTTAGTAGTTTGACAGACTGTTCTCATAAATTGTAGTCTGGGTACAAATGTATTTAGGGTTAGAGAGGAGCCTGTGAATTTTGCCAAGAAGTGCTACTGATTAGGTTGTTCTATACATTCATTGTCATTCGAGTTAGTTACACGTACAGATCACAGTTTAACTCGATTCAGCTGTATGTTTTTTCATTGTCGCTCGGAAGTCTTCTCTTTGAGAAATAGCTCCTGTCATTTAAATAGGACGGGGAAGCAATCGACAGACTCTATGAAAACAAGGATACTTTCACGTAGAGTGATCGTTTAGAGACAATTGCTCATGAGAGAGAGAGAAGATTCATTGAAATTGAGCACAGAGGAGGCGACTCAGCGTCCCCGTGGAGTCAGTGCTTCCCAACAGGTGTGATGCGACTGCTGTCGAAAA